ATCACTTTTTTTTTTTTTTTTAAAGGGAGTGACTCAGATCGACAATGACCTGAAATCTCGAGCATCCGCATATAATAACCTGAAAGGGAATCTTCAGAATTTGGAACGAAAGAATGCGTAAGCATACCAAGTATTTGTGTATATTAAGAATTAGAGAAGCACTCTAGCATAACTGAAATGAGATATTGTTGGGGTTTAGTAAGTTCCAGCTGTTTCTATAATCAAAATGGTATTTTTTCACTTCAGGGAGAAAAGTTTCTTAATTGAGTGTAGTCAAAACAGATGTGAGACTGATTTATTATACTTGTTTCATAAATAATACTTGTGAGTGATCCTTATGAGCTCAGCTCTGGTTTATCCTTTTATGCACTTGACGGAAAAATGTCTAAAAATTAATTGTTTTTTAAAAAAATCATAGTTTGATGGCATAATCTGCTTAAAATAATTCTATTGAGGAATTCTTTTATAATGTAATACGTGTTCTTCATTTATTTTCCAAGTTGAGGTTTTTTACACATTAGGTTTTCTTAAAATCGAACACACTTCTTTTAATCTTGTAGCATGACTACTACAAGTGTAGCTTTAAGCACTTAACTGTTGAAGTTAAGCATTTATGTCCCAGAGGAAAAGTTGGTTGATATGTATGCTACCAGTGATGCAAGCAGGCAAGACATTTTCATTATGAAAGGATCAGTACTGGGAGACTAAATGAATACTGACTGAAAGAGTTGGTCATTGGGTTAACTAACCCAAATTACCTGGTATCAAATGATAGCCAGGGAGAGGGAGTAAAACCAAAGGTTGTGCTTAAATGATATAATTTCATAAGTGTAATGAAGTAGACTTTAATTGATATCTAATGAATAACACTTTCCTAGTCAAGATATTATATATGTAATCAAGAGAAGACCCAGTTACATTAATTAAAGCAAACACAAAGGGAGACACTAGAGGCAGATTTTGATAAATGTTGACATTTCTTTGGTTGCAGGGGTGAGAAATAGCTACATTTTGACGATTACAAAGTGAAAAATGTTCACTAGACTAATGCCTCTTTGAGATGTCTCTATAGTCCGTGAATATAATGAGCTTGTGTTTCCTTACGTGTGTCACTGAAGCACGTAATTATTGTCTGCTGCTTCTCTCTCCTTCCTCAGTGGAAGTCTGCTGACTCGGAGTCTAGCAGAAGTTGTGAAGAAAGATGACTTCGTTCTCGACTCAGAGTATCTCGTCACATTGCTGGTTGTCGTTCCCAAGTATGTTTTTTACTGCAAAGATATTTACCTGCTAAAATACAAGAAAAACATTCGTATCTGATACTCTAATTTGAAGTTTTCCATAACAGCCAAGTGTAGAGGGACTATTACCTGTCATTCATTCTGTCAACCAGCATGTGGCACGGACAGTAGAATTTATAACTTGAGGCATCAGTTATAAATTGAGACTCCAAATCAAATTTAGCAGCTTAATAGAGTTGACTCATTAGAAAGTTAAGTAATGTTAAATTATTTGATTTAGAAAATAGATTTCAATTTTTCAAAATACAAAGCTCTTTATTGTTTTAAAATATGTCTTTATTGATCTCAGAAGAGGAAGGGAGAGGGAGAGAGAGATAGAAACATCAATAATGAGAGAGTCACTGCCTCCTGCATGGACCCCAGTGGGGATCCAGCCCACAACTCAGGCATGTGCCCTGACCAGGAATCAAACCGTTATCTCCTGGATCCTATGGGTCTGTGCTCAACCACTGAGCCACGCCAGTCAGGCTGTATTTGTTTTTTTGAAAAGTCTTTATGATTGGTTAGGATGAATTAAACTAAGAAGCAAAGGATGGCCTTGGCTAGTGTGGCTCGGTTGGAGTGTCCCATGCACCAGAAGGTCATGGGTTTGATTCCTGGTCAGGGCACATACCTAGATTTCAGGTTCAATCCCCTAGATTTCAGGGGTGCATACAGGTGGCAACCGATTGATGTGTCTCTCTCTCATCAGTGTTGTTCTCCCCTGCCCCTACCCCTTTCTTCTTCCCTCTCTTAAAAAAAAAAATAAAAAGCAAAGACTGTAATAGATCAGGGCTTAGAAATTTTTTTATGTAAAGGGCCAGAGAGTATTTTAGGTTTTGCAAGTTGTGCAGTCTCTGTTATAACTACTCATCTCTGCCATGTCAGCTTTGTGGTTTTAACAGAAAGCAGCCATATACACAATACGTACACAAGTGGATATGGCTGTGTTTTAATAAAACTTTATTTATAAAATGGGCACAGGCTGTGGGCATAGTTTGCTGGGTTAGATAACCCTTGAAATCTCTTTTAGATTACACCTTCTGTGTTAACATTTGATCATAGTTAATCTTGGTAAAATGAAACCTTTGGACACCTGGAAGATTAGAACTCTGTGTGTGTGTGTGTGTGTGTGTGTGTGTGTGTGTGTATGTATAAGAGTGTGTGAGAGAGAGAGAAACACAATGTTTTCACTTCTGACTTAAACTGGATCCAACTGAGATGGGAAATTTTGGTGCTCTTCAGAGCAGCATAATTACTTGGCTCCTTTGCTGTGCTCTCCATTTTTATTTGGTTGGGAAACTGAGAATATTGGAAAATGATGCCTGCTAGAAAGGGAGGGAAAGCACCTCCATCGAATTTACAGTGGCTAAAATATAATGTGACTTCTGTTTGCCCCCTCTCCCCTTTTCTTTCCTTAATCCTCACTTGATATTTTTTTCATTGATTTTTAGAGAGAGTGGAAGGAAAGGAGGGAGGGAGAGAGAGGGAGAGAGAGAGAAACTTCGATGTGAGAGAGACACATTGACTGGTTGCCTCCTGCACACACCCCAACCAGGGCCAGGGATTGAACCTGCAACCCAGGCCTGTGCTCTTGACCGGGAATCAAACCTGTGACCCTTCGGTCTGCAGGCTGAGGCTCTAACCACTGAGCAGCACCAGCCAGGACTGCATTTTTTCCCCTTACTGAAAAATACAGTATTCTTTGTGTATGGAGAAGGGCTTAAAGCTAAAGGTTTGGCTGTTTTGTGTTTTAGTTATGTAACTTACCCCTGATATACTAGAACACTGATTATTTATAATAAATTTCTGTGTATCTGTGTTTTTGTAATACATAGGGAAATAACCTTTGCCCAGATAAAAGATTTGTCCCATTCAACCGTTATTTAAAATGTGTGTTTAAAACCAGAAGTTTTCATAATTTTCTGTACACCATAATTGAAACATAGGACCGAGGCACCTTAAACAATGGATTATTCTCTCTCCTGGCCTACAGGTGCTGCAGTTCTTTATTTTAAATTACGAACATAACTGTCACTTCCCACAGCCCCAAAGCCAGTGTTCTGTAGGGAAGGGTGTTGCGCAACGCTCTGGGGCAGCGTGGTTTACCGGCACTTTATTTACTCAGCACTTCCTGGGGCTGTGCTTACAGTGAAATACAGCTTCACCCAGCCTTTTTAACAGCGGCTGGCGAGAAATGGTAATGGTTGGGTGTGACTTTTTCTTTGTTTTTTTTAAATATATTTTTTATTGATTTCAGAGAGAGAGGGAGGAAGGGAGAGGGAGAGAGAGATAGAGATAGAAACATCAATGATGAGACAGTCACTGTTCGGCTGCCTCCTGCAGGCCCCGNGAGATAGAAACATCAATGATGAGACAGTCACTGATCGGCTGCCTCCTGCAGGCCCCGTGCTGGGGATCAAGCCCACAACCCAGGCATGTGCCCTGACTGGGAATCGAACTGGGATCTCCTGGATCATATAGGTTGACGCTCAACTGCTGAGCCATGCCAGCTGGGCTGCTTTCTTTTTTTTAAATGAGGTAATATGCTTCAACCCTAAAGTTTGAAAGTAATTTAGAATCTGTACTTTGCCTTACTTACTTCCTTTCCAAACTTAGTTCTAGGATGTGCCTGCTCTGCAATAGTTACTGGGTGTGCTGTAGTTCCCACTTCACTCAGAAAATGCATTTGAAATACATTCTCAGTAGGAAACTTTAATATTTTTCTTAAATAGATCTGCTGTATATGTACTGTAGCCAGACTTCCTGTTTGTCCCATCATTTTTCTCTTTCTGGGTATGGCGGGAGGCAGGACTGGTTTTCTTTTCCAGTGCTTATGTACCTTTCCTGCAGGTTGAACCACAATGACTGGATGAAGCAGTACGAAACGCTGGCTGAGATGGTGGTTCCACGGTCTAGCAAGTAAGTCGTGGTCTTTGTAAAACCCGCTTCTTTCCTAGAATTCCTTTTACAGTTTGGGTGTTGGGTTAGGAAATATGTTTCCTTTTTCCTGTGTGGTAAATTGGTAGTTTTAGAAGCATCTTTTTCACCTTATAAATGAGTTATAGTAACTATCATACATGTATACCTGGAAAGGATTGCACAGTCTAAACTGACCCACTCATGTTTATGGATGTAGAAGTTTGAGGCCACAGAAGGAGGTGGTTTGCCCAGAGTCACACATCTGTTAATGCAGGGCTGGCACTAGAACCCGGGTCTCTGGTGTGGCACCTTTTCTGCTGCATAGTGCTACCTTCTGAAAATTCTTCATTTAATATGATTGTATCTCTGTGATGTGTCTGTAATACCTCATTTACTTTGTGAAGGAAGTGTACCAGAATGGCTGCTAAAGTATAGGAGATAGTAAGGAAGTGGCATTAGTAAGGCCAGGCCCATGAAATATTTTCTTTTCCAGTTTCATTGTGTCATATGGGAGGTAGCTTAGTATAATGGAAAGAGTCCTGGACCCAGGGATCTGAGTTCTATTGCTCGTTCTGCTACCAACTTGCTGTGTGACCTGGGGTAAGTCTTTTAACTTCTCTGGGCCCACAAAATCATTTGGTTTGGCCCTGCCAAGGCAACTGTAGGCGGGACTCAAAATTCAATAAATTTAGGCTTTTTTCATACCTGATTTTTAAGTTGATAATTTTGTATGGCCTGCGAATGATATTAAAAATATCCAAATGTCCCTTGGCAGAAAAAAGGTTCCCCACCCCTGTTCTAAAGCTTACCATGGAGATCTGGGATGCGTGAAAGTGTGTTTTTTCAGAAGTTATTTAGACAGTTGTGTTAGTCAATTTTTGATCTAGGGTGTAATGGGAGTGTAGAGGGTGGGCCAGGCCCCAGGGGGTTGGGCTGGGCTAGGGTGGAGAGAGAACGAGGTTTCTAGAGAGAAGGGGTGCTTAGCAGGGAAGCAAGGAGACTCTGGGAACAAACCAGCTGCTGGTCAGTTGCCAGCCTGGTGCTGATGTAGGTTGAAGAGCATGGTTCTTAGAGTTTGGGTCTGTACCTGAGTTAATGTTTAGTGTCATTGGTTCGGACGCAGGAGATGAAATACAGGGCTGTGATGGTGAACAGAGAGCAGAGGCACGCGTGTCTTCAGTGTCCGAGGCGAGAGAGACGAGCAGCGCGGGGACGGCTTGGGAAGGGCTGCCACCCGGTTCTCCCTCCCCCGTCTCTGCGTTCTCTCCGGTGTGAGCGCGCAGATTAACAGGGTTTTAAGTGGCCTTTGTCTTTTTTCCCTAGTGTTCTCTCCGAAGACCAGGATAGTTACCTCTGTAATGTCACCTTGTTTAGGAAGGCAGTTGATGACTTCAGACACAAAGCCAGGGAAAACAAGTAAGATCATTATTTTTTTCTGTTTGTTTTTTTTAACTTGTTCAGTCACCTATACACGGTGTGGACAGTTTTGTTTTCCCCCCACATTTAGGTTCATTGTTCGGGACTTCCAGTATAATGAAGAGGAGATGAAAGCAGATAAAGAGGAAATGAACAGGCTTTCTACTGACAAGAAAAAGCAGTTTGTATGTGTTCTTAATATTTAGTATTATCAATGTTACGCACAAGAAAAACTGATGCTGCTTTTATTTGATTTAAAAGAAAGCAAAACTTAGATTTTGCCTTAAGATATTTGATTTTAATTATTTTTTCTATTAAATAATCAGAATGAATTTTCTCTAAACAAACTTANTATTTGATTTAAAAGAAAGCAAAACTTAGATTTTGCCTTAAGATATTTGATTTTAATTATTTTTTCTATTAAATAATCAGAATGATTTGCGAGTAGTTATCTTAAAGTACATAACCTAAAATTACTCCCCATCTAAATCCATGTCAGAGGTTAATTTTAAGTGCACTGTTTGGTTAAAGCCTCTGGAGTGGAAGGGGTTATTTAAGTGGTCACTTTCTCTTTCCAGTAAGAATTTTCCTTTTCTTGAGGCAAATTTTTTTTAATGCTGCAATGTTGTCCTGAGCAATTTGTATTTAAACTGTTGGAGAATTATTATGTTCTAGGCAGGATGGGGAACAGGAATGGATTTGGTGTCCCCTTTCTTGCCATCTTCAAATGCAGGATTATTGTGAAGACTAAAAGATTGTAGGGAAGAGGAGATGTGACCTGTGAAAAGGTGATTCTCTTGTAGTGAAAAAGAAGATAAAGGCAAATTTTATTTAAAATTATTTCTAAGTACTTTATGAACCATATTATCTTAGTTGGGAGAAAACTAACCCTAACCAAGTAATGTCTCATAAAGCCAGTTGGTTCATCTAATTCCTGATTGCCATTTTCAAAACCAAATTTGTAGTAATTTTCCCCCCTCTTTTATAGGGACCACTTGTGCGGTGGCTGAAAGTGAATTTCAGTGAAGCATTTATTGCGTGGATTCATGTGAAAGCGTTGAGGGTTTTTGTTGAGTCTGTTTTAAGGTAAAGAAAGTTAATTGAGAAACTTGGATGTGAAGAGCTCATACTTGCCTTTATTTTGGACCTCTCTATTATAATGCAGTAATAGGGAAATGACTTACAGAAACCAAAGGGCCAGTCATGAGGAGGGACTGTCAGTATCACACAGCTTGTGACATGCACATTAGCGTGTGTCTTAGCCCTAGGTTTAGGAAAAGAGGTCCATGCTGCTCTACTCTCTGATGCTTTTCTTATGTATTTAAGTTAAAAGTAGATCATATATTATAATCCAGTGTTTGTTTAGAAGAGGATCTTTTAGATATTTACATGTAGTACACAGTATACTAATGAGTTTTTTGAAATTATTGTTTCATTTAACCTAAAATATTTAATATTTTGACATAAAATTGAAATCGTCTTGTGATCCTCTCTATACATGTTACTCATATTAGTTGTTACAGACTGATCTGCAGCTATGCTGTTTTAAAAGTAGTTTGAATTTTCGGAGTAGATGTGGGTAATCTCATGTTGTTTATTGTGAAAGTATTTACTAAGTTTACATATTATCACTATTTTATTCATAGATTCCCTTAAAAATTGAAGAGTAATTAAAGTAATCCCTAGTAGACAATTGGCTCTCATTTTAGAGAAAATATCTAGTAGACAGGGAGGACCAAAGAAGTTTTGAGTTTCTGTGTATATTAGTTGAACTCGTAAAGGTGGTCATTAAAATGAGGTGCCATCTCCCCATTAGCTATGATTAAAGAAGAGTAAGGATGTTTTTTAAAAAAATGAAGTCTGTGTGTTTACTTGTGTTACATACTGTGTTTGTGCTTCCTTATAAGGTATGGCTTGCCAGTGAACTTCCAAGCAATGCTACTTCAGCCCAATAAGAAAACAATGAAGAAACTAAGAGAAGTATTATATGAATTGTATAAACACCTAGATAGCAGTGCAGCTGCTATTATTGATGTAAGTACTTATTAGATAGCCTTGTAGAGTAGGAACTGGAAGAATTTCAGAAAAAAAATACTGGAAAAGATAGAAAAGGGATAGTGACTATTGTGATACCCATTTTTTAAAATTATTATTTTGAGATTCCCAATTAGCTTGTTAGATAAACATAGCAAGTCGTTTACCTTGTTTACCCTGTTTATGCTAGTTGGAGCTGGGATTTCTAAAAGCCAGTCATTATCTTGCTGTAAGTCAGATGTTCATAGTGGCAGAAATACGTGAACCAACCAGTGATACTAGTTGTTTACAAAAATTATAAATTGCTGAGAATATAGTAGTTATTTTAACTTTATTTGGTAGAGGTGATGAGTTAATAGATGAGCATCGTAAAGCAAATTGTTTTTTCTAAAATGGTATGTGTTTATGTCATCTTTTAAACAGAAAATATAAGCAAAGTATGTTTTTTTGTCATTGCTGTTGTGTAAAATTGTAGTGGGCTTTTATATTTTTTATTTCAAATATCTTGATTTTTTTTTCCTCTTTAGGATGATATATCTCACCTGTGCATTAGTTAGAACCCATGAAAAATCAGGTTTTTTTTGATAAAGAAAATGCAAGAAATGACCTTCCTCATTTTCATGGAATTGTCGATAAAATACAAGTTTGAAATATTTGCTACATAATTTCCTACCAGTAAACTCTTACAACATGCATATATAATATATGGTATCTTTAAAACAGTACTTGGTTCATTTTGATCTAATATTTTATAAGCCTTGTATCACATAAACTCAATACCCCAAGCCTGAGATTAAAAAATTCTTTATAGTGTACATAAACAGGGAGGGTAGGATCATGGTAAACACACACAGGCTTTGGAGTCAGACATGCTTGAAGTTGGCCTTACTGCTCCCTGTGTGTGCTTCTAGGGCAAGTCAACCCGTCTGAGATTGTTTCCTCATTTGCAAAGTGGAGATACTAATGCCTACCTCAGATTAAATTAGCATAAGTGCATAAACTTAGTCCAGAGTAGGTGTTTAATAGAGGGTAAATGGCAATACTTTATTTCTTTGTTTGCTTTCTGTGAGTACATAATGGAATAATGTGTCTGATTTTCATAGGCACCTATGGACATTCCAGGCTTAAACCTGAGTCAGCAGGAATACTACCCCTATGTGTACTACAAGATTGATTGCAACTTGCTGGAATTCAAGTAAAAATGAGCCCCTCTCAGACAGTCCTGTCCTTGTGTTGGTGTATGCTAACAGAAATAGGCTGAAGTATGACAGTGCTTTTAACTCTATTACCCTTTGCTTGCTTCTGACCCCCTTTCCTAGGTAAGTTCTCCCGTCGTGGTCCATTTCTGAACATTTTCTTTTAAAAGAAAAATGTATGTCTTGTTTCTTTTTATTGATCAGGTCTGTAAATGTGTACTAAAAAAATCAGAGTCTATTTATAAACAGAGTAGTTTATTTAAAGAGGTCTTTCCTCATCTATGTTGTGATATGCATAATTCCATTTGTTACTGTTGTGCACAAAAGCCTTGTTTACAAGGGAATGGTGTAAATGTTTATGCCATTTTGTTCACTGTATTTAGTAGACATAATTGTTTAATAGTTACTGAATCGTGATGTAAAGAAATGTGACAATATTCAGATATGTGCTTTCTGAATGTTCCAAATTGTAATCTCTGCGCTTCGTTGACACCCACAGGAGAGAATAAAATTACCTGTGCAAAGGTGTAGTGTGTGTGTAACTTCAGAGGGTCGCAGTCCAGCTCGAGAGTTTAATGAATGGTGTCACAGCTCACTTGCTCTGCCACTGTCTGGATGAGTATTTACATTTGAACACTAGACTCAGTTTTCAAATAATTAGGAAGTAGGGCCAGTTTTGAATAAAGTATAGCAAAACTATGCAGCTTGAGTCATTTGTTTTGTCTTAGCATTTTACACATCTTAAAGATCTGTAATTATAAAAGCCTTTATTTTGACATTTACGACAGCCCGAAAATAGAAGCATTGCAGCCTTAAGTGCATGACTTAGTTTCTCGTCATTAGAGCTTTTAAAGGAGGGTTTGTGGCCACACTGCCCTTCCTGTGCCCTCACTGCCTGTTAAGGGGGAGAAAGAACTTTACATTTTATTTTATGGGCATTTATAGACTATTCTATTTTCTCTAGAAAATCAGTCTACAGAATCCTTTGTATTTCAAAAGTAATTATTAGCTTCAAACAATACAGACTTAAAAGTAAAACCTGAGAGATGTAGCCTGCTCCCCCCTCCCCGCCCCCAGCCTAATTGCTTCTCCCAAGGACACGAATTCAAATGTATTTGTCCAGGCCTTTCTGTTTCCCCACAGTGCATGTATGTCTCACACACACACGCACGAGAGTTTATTTTTAAATAAAAATAAGCATACTGCACATATTCTGTCACCTCTTTGCTTACTCGTGTACGGAAGAGATCTTACATGTCAGTGTGTCTAGAGCTACCTCATTCTTTTAATCAGCTGCGTGGTTTTCTGTCATGTGTTTGTGCCATAATACAGCCGATGGGATGGATATTTAGGTGGTTTTCATTTTTGCTCTTATAAACTGTGCTTTAGTAAACATCCTTACACAGATATCTTTGTTTCCTCATATTAGTATTTCTGTAAGAGAGATCCTGGAAGTGGGATTGGAAGGTCAGAGGGTGTGTGTGTAAATTTTGACACATACTGCCAAGTTATCTATTAATGTTAATTCAAGACATCTTTGGAATGCAGGTGTTTTTTTTGTTTTTATTTTTGTTTACTTTTTAAAAAAATATTACAGATGTCCCTTTTTTCCCCCAATGACCCGTTCCACCCTGTCCCACCCCCCTCCCAGTCCCTCTCCCCACCGTTGTCCATGTACTTGGGCTGTGCNCCGTTGTCCATGTCCTTGGGCTGTGCATATATGCATATAAATTCTTTGGTAAATCTCTCCCCCTCCACCCAACCCGCCCTCCTCTATCCCTCTGACATTCGTCAGTCTGATCCATGCTTCCATGTCATCAAATCGATTCTGTTCATTAGTTTATTAAGTTCTTTAGATTCCACATATAAGTGAGATCATGTGATGTTTGTCTTTCTCTGCCTGGCTTATCTCACTTAGCATAATATTCTCCAGGTCCATCCATGCTGTCCCAAAGGGTATGAGATCCTTCTTCTTTACGGCTGCATAATATGGAATGCAGGTTTTATTTTCATTTTTCCTTCGGATAAGAGGAAGCTGAAAAGTTTTGGTTTTGATATCAGAAAATTCTGGCTCTCTGTCTTTGGCAAGTGTTCTTTGAGCCTTAGTATCTGTAAAAGGGGTATAATCTCTCTCATGGGTAATGTGTTTTGCTGACTGAAGTAAAAGATTTGTAGGCCTACACAATGATTTGAGGTTTGGTTTAGGCTTTAATACTGTTCTGATACGAGTGGGTAGGAATTGGGTCAAGTTTAAAATCCCAGCGCGTGTTTGGAGCTATGGCACTTCCACTATAACTCTTCTCAGGGTCGCAGTACAGCGGAGGGCTGAGTGCGGCTCTGACGCCAGACCCCAGCCCTGCTAGGGAGCAGCTGTGATCTCCACCTCAGCCGCTCCGTCACGGACTAGGGGTTCCCAGCTCATAGGGCTGTTGTGCTGAGTAAACAAGTTCCCACATGCACATAAGGAGCTTAGGAAGTTGCCTGGTAAGTGCTTGAAACATGCACTTATGCTGCTGCTTCACTTGTGTGTAGTCTGGAATTTCACCGTCCATGCCATTGTGGAGTCTGAGGGCTAGAAAGAAGTAATTGTGGGGGGCGGGCAGGATGAAGACTCGTAGTTTGCGTCTGTAATGTAACATTAAAGCAGTTGGAGTGTCTCGGAGCTTCAGTCGCGTTGGAGTCCTTATATTGTCAGTGGCGGCTGCCGCTCTGGAAAGGGCCTGCTCCCCTTGCTTGCTCGCTTTGTGACGAATCTGCTGGTTCTCTGGGACAGAGCTGAGACCATTCAGCTGGCGCGCCCACCCTTGCCTCGTCCCTTCCCCTGTTCACGCTGGAAGGGCTGGTGTTCCCCACTCTATACCTGCACAGGCTTAGGGTCAAAAAAGTTAAGTGGTTTCTTTGTTAAAACTCCCAAATTTTGAGTCACAATCAGAATTTGAATCTATGAGTTCTGACAGCCGAGATCTTTCCCTTATACCATGTCTCCTGCCCTCTACTAGGTACTTACTGTGTAAGTGAGCCAAGCGCATTCCTTAACCAGAGCCCAAGTTAGCGCTATAGAAAAGACATTGGGGCCCTGGCTGGTTTGGCTCAGTGGTTAGAGCGTTGGCCGGCGGACTGAAGGGTCCCAGGTTTGATTCTGGCCAAGGGCACGCACCTCGGTTGCAGTATCGATCCCCGGCCCCGGTCAGGGCGTGTGTGGGAGGCACCCAATCCATGTGTCTCTCTCACGTCGGTGTTTCTCTTTCCCTTCCACTGTCTCTGAAAAGCAGTGGAAAAAATATCCTCAGGTGAGGATTGAGAAGAAAAAGACATTGGGTGTGGATCATGAGATACTAATTGTGTGGGTGTTTGGCAGGAACTCAGGAGCCCAGAACATTTCGTCGCTGATGGGCGCTGATGTGTCTAGGTGTTGGGTGCTAATTCAGTAACCTAACTTACTCAACCTGGGAGATTTCTCTGCCTCTGATTGCACCTGCTAGAGTTGCCCTGAAGCAGACACTGTGGGCTGGGTGGAACATAACCCACATGGCTTTATTGAATGATCACAAATCAAGAATTACCTTTAATACTTTGTACATAACAAATGCTTAGCAAATGTGAACTTGTCTTTGCTCTTCCCAGATGTTGGAAATAAAATATAAGAAATTGATCTAAGTATGGGGTTATTTTTCTTCATTCTCAGCTGCCTTTAAAAAAATAAAAATAACACAAGGTTAAAAACCATATACCCAGATATTATAAGATAGCTTATAATGAGTGAAACCTTGCTGGTGTTTAGAAAAATGTGGTTTTTGTTTCTATTAGCATTAGTAAAAGATGACTTGTCCTAGACTGTTTGTAACAGTGGTAGTATGTATTGAAATCTTACTGAAAACTTTCCTAATTTCATATCTGTCTCTGTATTGAAGTTTACCCATTTCAATAATGTAAACTTATTTTTTCTAGCATAGACAGCTTTAGGTTAGTATATGAATGTAATTCTGGCTTAAAAAAAAGAAAACAACATGACATCAGAACCATTTTCTTCACCAGTGGATTTATCCTTGAAGTATTTTTAGTGCTGGGCTCCATGACGTCGGAGAGAAAAGGGGCAGTAACACCATGGAAGTGATTTAGCAGCTGTAAGAATACCACCCGGGCTTGGTGAGCTGGAGAAGATGGAGCTGAGGAGCAACTGGACGGCATTGTTCATACCAGGAATGGTCAAATGGGGCAAGAAGAAAAAAGTTTAAACGAAGCAGAAGGCAGGCAGCAAACCACAAACAGTTGCTCAATATTGAAACTACTTATGTCCACAGTGGTTCTTTCTTGGGGAATTCAATAAAAATGCAGATTCATTGCCAAACTCCCTCAGAAATGCGGTCTTGAGTAGTTCTGAGAAATAATCTACATTTTTAACAGACACCCAGGAGACTCGGATGCTCACGGTCAACCAAACTGCAGTCTGAGACGGCCTTTTAAAGATTCTTCCTCTGGAGCCCCAGATAGGGTCATTGACATGATCTGTGAGCCTTTTGAGGTCCCTCTCACATTGTGACTCTTCTCTACTTCACACAGATCATACTCAATACGATCATTATGGGTCAGTTTTCCCTACCCCGTCACCTGAAGCAGCATTATGCATCATTAATCAATAGAACCAGAAAGTTCTTCCTCGATGTAGGCGTCCTGTACCCTTTCAAGGCCCATAGTATATCAAACTGAAATTCGCAAATACTGTCTGAAATGATTGAGGTCACATATTTATCTTTTAATTCAAAACTCACTTTGGGTGTGATTTATCACTTCTTGTAAAGTTTAAAAGAGCACCCAAAACAGACCTTCGAAGGGCAGCAGGTGGTGTGCATGGGGAAGCCAAGCGAAGATCCTGAGATAGAGAAAAGGCACTGGAGAAAGCCAGGGGTATTGTTGGTTTAGACCAAAAAAAAAAAAAAGGAATAAACTGTATGCACAACACTACTTGAACTTGAAAGTAGTGCTTGTTTTTTATAAACAGAAATGATCCAGAATATTAAATCCAAGAGCAGCTTTCACTTATTTCTCCATTTCCTGGTATGGGGATGACTTGGTTGGCAAGTTCTGACAAATGGTCCTTCATTTATCTTTTTCACCAACACAGCTCACCAGATTTTATATTAAACTATTTAGGTACATATTTGGGCTGATTCTCGGAGTGATTACACGTCAGTACGGGTTTTTAATGTTACTAGAAGCATAAAGTAACTTGTTTTTTAAAATAAAAATTGATTTGCATCCACAGGTACTGATTTTACCACGAGATGGCACTCTGGTGCCGCTGAAAAGCCAACAGTTTCTAGCAGAGCTATTTCATGGTTATGAAACACAGCCAATTTAGAGAAGCCCATTCTGATTTGAAATACTTTGTTAGAAGTGTTTATTAACATAAAGTTCTCAGAAAATGTCAGACGACTCATTCATTCTGTGACTTAATTCAGCCTCTGTGTGTGTGTGTGTGTGTGTGTGTGTGTGTGTAGAAACCAAACACCTTTCAGGTGATTGGTGCCAACCAGTGACAAAATTTTCACTTGTCAAAGATAAAATGAAAAATACTAAAGATATATGTATTTATTTCTGTCTGTGTGTTTTCATATATATATGAGCATATATTCAGCAAATAGTGAGCACGTACTATGAACAGGCATTGTTTTAGGTACTGGGATATGATGCTGAGCAGTAAGAAGGCACAGTGCCTGCCTTGGCGGGCCTCAGAACCTAGTGATCTGGTGGCAGCTTTCCTTGACAAAATATAAACCTGGCAACCCCAAAATTAGAAAAAGTATTTTATTGATCTGTGAAATCCAAAGTCTAAGAACATACTTAAGGATATATGTCTAGAAAAGTCCTATAACATCAGTCAGTGGGTACAGAATAGACCCATGCTTTTTTTCAGCTGACTACACAGTTGGTCTGGTTCAGCACTGTCCAAAAGGTTTGGACATTGATGATTTGTATGTTGATTTGTACATATGATGTACATTCTATATCTGTCACCCTGTGTGGTAGCTTCTGCCACCTATGGCTGTAGACCCCTTGAAATGTGGCTGGTTAAGGAACTTCATTTTAAGTCTTATTTAGCTTGAATTAATGTACGTAGCTCCATGTTGCTAGTGGCCACTGCGTTGGACAGTGCAGGTGCAGTTGGTCACATTTGAGTAATGAGCCATTTGCCCTTGAGTTTCCAGTATGCCCATAGCCTTTGGCTTTTTCTGTTCCTGTGACTGGAAGAGCCAGCCTGGCTTCTATTCACTTTGATCGTCAGATGTCATTTCCCTACGAGTCTGAGAAATGAGGAGGGGAAAAGACTGCTCTCTCAATCATTGCTGATGGGCCTCAGATTGCTGCCCAACAGCTTTCTTTCTCTTTGATCACAGAAGATGACTACACCTACTTTGTGCCTCTGTGTGCAAGAGGGTAAACTGGTTGCAATACTGAAAGACCAAAAGCTATTTCTGATGGGAAATACTGAATGAGTGGGGTTGAAAACACAGCTGTGTGGTTCTGATAGGAGCATCATTTCTTCTGTCAGCCAGTGCCCACTTAGCTCCCTGTGAGCAGGACATGCGCTGCGCCAGGCTCTGCAGGGAGACGGCGAGGAGGCCTCAGCATGGGTCCTTGAACACGTTATTTGTCTCTATTGGCTCTTAGGAACTTAAAAGTTTCATAAAATACTGAACAGCTCGGGCCTCTAACAAGGCTAGCAATGTATAGGGATCCCTTGGACAGCGGCAAGTTGTGTGCAGAACTGGCACCTTGTCTGCGGGCGGTTTTCATCAGTGATACGTTGCGTGGATCTTGCCTTTCTTGAGTCCAGGGGCGCCACTCTGCGGGACACCGGGGAGCAAGCAGCGCAGTCAGTGCGCACGCTCCTCCCCGCTAGCTGCTGCTTCCACCTCTGCTCCCTGCACCTTGTTTGTGTCTCACCCTTCGCATCAGGCCCTCAAGCATTCAGGGGCCCTCCCTCCCTCCACTCCCTCCCTCCACTCCCAGCCCCCTTTTCCCAGTCTATTGACAGCCTCCCACTGGCCGCCTTGTCCCCCTCCCTGCTCACCTTTCGTTCACCCTGTTGCTGGTGGAAACAGGATTCTTTCAGGGTATCGCAGGAAACGCATTTCAAGGGTACGTGCGTAGGAGGAGGGGCTGTATTGTGGCAAGATCTACTGGAGCGAAAACAGAGACTGTCCCCAGGTGCCCGATGTCCCATCCACTACCAGATGGCCTAGCTCCATCTCACTACAAAAGAAGCCCAGCCTCTGGAGCCGAAGGCCCACACTGTCCTCGCCAACTCCAGGAGGAGGGCCAGGGCCCAGAGATGCTGGGGATGCTGGGCCATCAGCCCGGCATGGGCTCCAGGCTTCTGTAGTCCAGCTTTGTCTCCTTTCCCCATTTGCACCCCTGCACCCAGGCTCACCCGAGGGCGAGGGCGAGGGCGAGGGCGAGGGCGAGGGCGAGGGCGAGGGCGAGGGCGAGGGCGAGGGCGAGGGCGAGGGCGAGGGCGAGCGAGCCAGGGAATAAAGCCCCGGCCTTTGTTAGCTTTGATTACACCTCCTTGGGTTTGGGAAGGGGTGAGCTTTCTTTCAAACTATCCAATCTCTTTCCTGGCTCTTCGCGGGCTTGTGCGGGGCCCATCCCCTCACAGCCTTAGCTTCTGCGCATGCCTCAGCAGAGGAATTTCCCTTGACTGTCCTCCCCCAAAGTAACCCCTGGGGGTGGGAAAGCCGGTCCTGCCTCCCTCCTCAGGGCGGGAAGGGGGATGTTAATCCCCTTGGCAGGCAGGGCAGCTGTCCCCCAAGTATCTGGAAGCCGTAGTTTCCTAGTCCATGAGGCTTAGGTTCCTTCTCGATTGTTAATAACTAACCAGCCGCCTGCGCTAACCAGCCCCACAGGAATGTCAAGTCGCTGCCCACAACCCCGAAGAGCGCCTCTTTTATGCCCAGAAGGAAGTCCCCGTGCTCAAATTGGAATTTTTCCTTTTTCAAATTTTAATTTGCCTCTTTATGTCTTTTCTAAAAGCAGAATGTTGTTTAATGTTTGTTTTTTAATTTGACCAGGGTCTCTGACGGGGGAGTTAGGCCGTGGGGGTGCGGGCTGTGAGCGCCCCCCTGGTGGTCTGCTGTTCTCTCCAGCCCCTTGGAGCTGCCCCACCTGCCAGGTTCAGAGCTGTGCTTTCTGAGCGTGACCTTGGGCAGCTGGACGTCCTGGGTCCTGAACCAGCTGCTTCATCTGTAGGAGAGTTAAGGTAACACAATAGGGTTATTGTGAGGATCAAACCTCACTGTACGCAGGAACTTCTAGCAAGGGACCCGGCACAGAGGAGGGGTCCAGCCTGCAGGGTGGGGCAAAAGCAGGTTTACAGTTGTGCGTCTGTGAAACAGTTTATTCTTGTATTATTTCCCACACGAACAACTGTAAACCTACCTTTGCCCTCCCCTGTATTAACTGCTATTTTTGTTAGTACTATCATTTTTAAAATAGGACTTGATTTTTGTTTGTTCTTTGCTTCTTGCCTTCTATATCTTATGTGAATTGAAATTAGTTTTCCTTTAACTAACTCTGTTTGGAAGGAAGTTCCCCCACAAAAAACCCACCGAGATCATAGGACTGGCGATCTCACCCTAATCCCCAAGAGAACTGAAAACTCATCCCAACGAAAACTTGTACACAAAAGTTTGTAGCAGCATTATCATAATAGCCAAAGAGTGGAAACAACCCAAGTGCCCATCGGCTTATGCTAAACCAACAGATACACAGATGTGGTACATTCACATTTCTTAGAGGGGAAAGTTGTCTGTTTGCTCCAAACTGCTGCAGGCTTTTCCTGGGAGGAAGGGGCTCTGATCTCCACTCATTAATGTAAGAAGTGAGAGTCCCATCGTCTGAATTGCTGCTGCTCTAACTGCTCTGTTGCCTCTCTGCCTCTAGAGTCGCTTAGGTATTTGTTCGTCTCAGCTCTAAGGGATCCCTGACCTTCCAGAGATACGTTGGGGTACATGAATTGATTGCTTGAGAAGTGTTCCTGTGCAGCTTGGGCTGGGGCTGGTGTAACTAAGTACTGCTGTGGAAAGGAAGTGTCACATTTTCCATACTCACAGCTTCCCAGATTTTAATTGGCTGCCTGCCCTTGCGTCAGAATTTCTTTTCTAAAATAAATGATGTGGCAGGCTCTTATCTTTACACCCAGGCAGCCAGCTTCAGTTCCTCCTGCCTGGGAAAGCGAGCGCTCCAGCTCTAAGGTGGCGCACAGTGCTGTGCTGGTTCAGCCAGCCTCCGAGAACTCACCAGATCCCGCAACAGTCACACTTACTAGACTCCTCTCTTTTCCTCCTTCGTTAATGCCATTGTTTATTAACTTATTTTTCTTGCCTTTTTGGGTTTTCTAGTTTCCCCTATTCTTTGCTGCTTAATTTGGTATGATCAAAAAAAAATTTTTTTTAAAACACTCTGGTGCCCTTCTGACTTCTTCACCGGGGTGATTTCTTCTGTTTGCCCCCCCTTTTATTTCAGAACCCCTTTCCAACAAACCTGCCTTCTCTCCTGTGAGGGTTGCAGTCTGGAAGGAAGCCTGCGCGCCTGAAACTTGGTGTTGCTAAGCAACCGTTTCAAATATTTGCTGAAGTCGAGAGGAAGGCTGATAGACCCTGCAGCTAGGCAGTGTGTTGGTTAGGGTTTCCCAGAGGAGGGGAACCAATAGGAGATATATAATATGTCGGCTTTTGTAATGAATTGGTTCACAAGATCATGGAGGCAGGAAAGTCCAAAACTTCTGGAGCCAGCATCCTGCTTCGAGTCCAAAGTCCAGAAGCTGCTATGAAACCAGCAAGAGCTGCTGTCCCAGATCAGAGGCCATCAGGCAGGAGGAGGTCAGCTTTGTGTCTCCTCAAGCCTTCAGCTGATGGGATGAGGCCCACCCTCATTAGGGAGGGCAATCTGCTTCCTCAAGTCCACCAATTTAAATGTTAATCTCTCCCCAAAATACTCTCACAGAAACACCCAGAATAATGTTTGACCACCTCTCTGGGTACCCCAGTCAAGTTGGCACGTCAGATTAACCCATCACAGCCAGCTCTTGCTTTCTCAGTAACCACACAATCCTGGGTTGGGGGTTATTGGGTTATATGTTGTTTGATACATACAGAAGCTGAACCAAAAGAGAAAAAATTAAAATCTCAGTTCAGAGCTGTGACATTGTTTTGTTTTCCATCGCTCTGGTTTTGCATTCTGGTCGTGAACCTTTTTATCATCTTTGCACATTCTCTTCTTACTGGTCTCTGATCCACTGTTTCCCAGTCCCCACAGGAATTGTTCCAAACTTCCCCGTTTTCCAAGGCCCGGTCCCAGCTCCGCCCCTTTGCTCTTCGCCTGAGGTCGGCCCTCTCCTCTCACAGGTGGGAGAGCCTGAGCTTCAGAGAGGTTAATTACTTTGCCGAAGGTCCCACAACTAGTGAATGGTCAAGCTGGGGTTTAACTGGAAACAGCTGGGCTTGTTACTCCTCGGACCCTACTGTGCTCGTGCCAAGTGCTAAACGCCCTGGTTTCCCAGCACCTCCGGGCTGCTCCGTGCCCCTGTGCTCCCGCTTCTGGAAAGGTATGTCCTGCTCCCCGCGGCACCCCCAGCCCCTTCCACATGCCGCACTCGGCTCCCATCTCCCGTCCAGCACCCACCTCTGGGTGCACGGTCTCTGGCACTGTGTTTACTCCTATAATTTTCTCTTTCCAGTGTTTGTCCTCTTTCTGTTTGTGTTATATGAGCACACGTCTGTTCTTTTAGCCTAAGAACTCTCCCTGGGTCCGATGTCCCTCTAGCCCCTACTGAATCCGCCTGTTGCTTTTACACCCCGTTCTTTGCTCTGTTTGCCTGCGAGTAAGCCCTCGGCCTGCTGAAAGTCACTGTCGCCCATCCACTGAAGCTAATCTTGGTGAAGCCGTCAAAGGCGTCCTGTTTGATCAAGTGCAGCGGCTGCTCTGCGCGACTCAGTAGCATGTGTCGCTGTGTATCGCTCCTGTTTTCAGAGACTCTCATTTCTTCTGTGCAGCGCTTTCCTCCTGTGCGGCCCTTCCACCGGGCTCTCACCCGCCTGCTCCTCAGTCGCCCGAGGGCTCGTTCCCCCGCAGGCAGGCGCCGCGGCTGGAGCTCCGGATCCAGCGGGCCTAGGGAGGGCCACGGTTTTGCGTCCAGCGGGTCCCAGGTGATGGCCACGGGCCCACCTGCTGCCGCCACCGCCGCTGCGCCAGGGACCGCGCTCTGACGTCGCCATTGCTGGGTTTTCAGAACGTCCTGTATTGTGGGCCCTCCTTTGTGCCGTCCTGCCCATCTCATGGATTCCGGTCTCATTTCTGAATTTGGTCGCTCCTTCCCACACCTCTCTAGTCTGGCAGGCGGGGTCCTTCGAGATGGTCTTCGTGTCTCGGGAGGGGACCGTTGCCGTTTGGTGTTTGACTGTTCCTGTGCCTTGGAGGGTGCTTGGTCCTGCCCGCTCACTGGAACGGCCCCTACCCCCATTTCTAAATGCCCCCAGGGGCATGGTACCACCCCGGGTTGAGAAGCACTGGGTCCCCCATCCTGTTCCCCTTGTACTGTAGGAGCTCCAACCCCAGGAGCGCCACCCTGGGGACCAGAGGGGACAGACGTAGCCTTCGTTCCTTACATCTGTGGAAGACCCGAAAGCGGCCAGTGGAGCGAGTTTCCGTGCGTGGCCAGGGCAGGGGCCAGGGTAGGCCAGGGGCTGGTCCAGCAGAGGGGAGAGGGCGCCGGAGGGAGCTGTGCTGGGAAAGGCCTGCGTCCCCGTGAAAGAGAAACACCAGGCTGCCTTCCGTGCCCACCCTGACCCGCGTCAAACTGGACACCCTTCGGTGCACAGGACGGTGCTCAACCGACGCAGTCACTCCAGCTGGGCCAGGGCTCTCTGCTTTTAGGCCCAAAGGTCCTTTTTCCTGTCTTGTTGGTCCAGAATTAGGCTAGGAGGCAGGAGACCTGGATTCTGGTCCAGACTGCTCTCCGGCTGCCTTGGGTCCAGTCCCTCAACCTCCTAGAACCTTCGTTTAGGCTCAGGTTGGCAACGTCAAGTGCTGCACAAGCATGGGCGTCGCTGTTGTCAGGAAGATGCAGGGGCACTATGTAGGCGCCTGAGAGAAGCAGCTGTGCGGACGATCCCCGCAGCCCTCCTTCAAGGGGGCCCAGAGAGGCAAGGGCGCAGACGGAGTGGAAAGCTCCACAGGGGCATATTTTTGAGGCTGATGCAAAACCCCAGGCAGTGACGTTCCAGTGACTCAGCCCAGTGGGTGGGAGTGATTTTAAATAATAACAGTATCAACCGTCTTCCCCTTCCTGCAGTGTCACACATCACTGAACACAATCTCTCCGCGGCACCCACGGAGTCAGCTGCTCTGGGGCCGAAATGAAGGGAATGACACGTGTATGTCGCCGCACATCCCTCTGAGCCAAAGGGAGAAAATAACCCATCTGTCCAGCAATGTCCATTCTCTTCCGCAGAAACCAAGCCCAGATAAACAAGGGGTGACAGCAAGGTCACCTTGTACATTCACCCATTTTAAACAGCCCTCTCTGAGTTAAGGGGGGAGTAATTATAGCTGCCACCAGCAGGGAAGAGGCCACTTGAGTTAATTAGAAAGGGAAGCCACCCAATTCCAGTTAAAACCGTTTAGAAATGGGTAGCATTTTAGAGAGAAACTGCAGCAATTGGATCAGGCAGCTTACAGATGTCTCTCTTCAGACAGAACAATGGGGGAATCAGCTCAGGAAAGAGAGTGCAGGTCATGGCCGGGTTTGGATCTAAAGGGTTTCCTGTGACTGGCTCCGAGGTCCAGTCAAGGAACCAAAAAGCGCCCGGCCACCCTGAGAGTCTTGTTCCTTTTTGACCCCAGGTGCCTCCAGAGGGGAGGACCTTGCTGGGGCTCCTGAAGGATTGCAGGAACTCGAGCAAAACTCAAAGCCTGTATGCCAGCAACGGAAGGAGAGAGGAGGGTGGTTTCTTAGGAGCAGCCGCCTCATGAATAAAAGCAAGTTGGAGGTGGAAGGTGTTGGATTGAAAGACGGATGCTGGGCACAGGGTCCGGTGCATGAGCCAGAGGTTGCAGGGGGTTGGAGCTCATTCCCATCCCTCAGCTTCGCTCATCCCAAAGCCTGAGGCTCCAGGTTGGGATCTGGGAGCAAAAATGAGCTATTTTGTGTGCATAGTTTTAGGGAACATTCACTGTGAACTGTCAGGACAAATGCAGATTAGGGAGAAGACATTTACTTCCCCTGTTGAAAATAAAAGAAGCGATTTCCCTCTCCTTTTTCTTTAAGCATTAACTTTAATTTTTAAATTTTTTTTATTTATCTTTATTGATTTCAGAGAGAGGAAGAGAGAGGGGGAGAGAGAGAAACATCAATGATGAGAAAGTCATTGATCAGCTGCCTCCTGCACACCCCCCACTGGGGATCGAGCCCGAAACGCGGGCATGTGCACTGACTGGGAATTGAACTGCCATCTCCTGGATCCTAGGTCGATGCTCAACCGCTGAGCCACACCTGCCGGGCGAGCATTGACTTTAGAAAACGTGTCATTGTAAGTTCCTTCTCCCCTCTTTGAAAAATATATAAATCCTTTCGAGACAAGATTGGCATTTTGTCAGCTTTATGACCCAGGAACTCTTCCTCAGGAACCTGGGAGCCATCTCTTTGAAATGTAAACATCAAGGGAGACAGCACCCCTGTCTCCCAGCTCAGGTGGGAGGGTAGGTTCCCGACTTCGGTTCTTGTCTTCTTGAAAGATTTCAATCACAAAGCAAAGTGTAGAAAAGAAAGCAAAAATTTATTGACCTCAGTAAAAATATACTTAGGGCAGTGAAACAAGGAAGGGGCCTAGAAGCAGCAACAGGAGAGCCTAGGCTGGGCTGCTTGGGCTCACTGGGAAGTCAGAGAAAAAGGGGGGCCTTGGAAATAGGTTCAGGAGGTTAGCCCAGGACGAGCTGCCCTGATGATTCCCCGAGGCCCTGCCCCAGCCAGCTTGCAGGCCCACCCAAATTGTTTCCAGTGGCTTTTCCATACAAATGGCCTGACTTGGCTCATGCTTCAGACTTTCCTAAAATCTCTCAAACAAGCAGCATCTGGCCTCAGGGTGCCCTGAACCTCTCACTAAGTGGCCCCAGGCCTGGTACTAGCAGCAGCTGGCCTTGGTTTGCAGCTTGGCCTCACCCAGGCACCTCCAAGCCCAGCACAAAGTAGCAGCCATCTACAGATCACTTTGTAGCTCCTGCCAGATTGCCCCAGGCAGGGCACAGGCCAGGGCTGACCTTGGCCTGCACCTCCTGGGAGGCCCCAGAGCCAGCATACTGGGTGGGCAGCTTCTGACCACATCAAAGCACCACCCAACCACCTCCACAGGCAACACACTCAAGGGGCGACTCAGTGGGCACCAGGGCCCTGCTGAAGGAAGCCCTGCTCTGTGGGGTGGGCCCCTGCACAGCTGGTTTTCCACAGTGATGGATGGTCGGTGGTCAGTGGTTGCAGCCAGTCCTTGCAGCTGATCGGCCTGGGGG